AACACAAGAAAGAAAAGCTTGTAGTTAGTTCAATGATTGTTTGTTGGCCTTTAGGAATGTTTTCCAGTCCAGTCTTTTGGGGTATCACGCCTTGACCCCAAAGTCCACCTTCAGCATTCCCTGGGGACCTTGCTGCTCTGTTCTGTTGCACCCCCTTAGTGTTTTGCCTCGGTGTAGCGGGATCAGATCGGGTTCAATTCCCACACTGTGTCTCCGGTATTGTCCCCTGTAGGGCTTTGGGTCAGTGAGGGGCGTCATGTGTCATAGTTTGGCCGGCCATGTGGTCCTCTCTGTGGACTGGCTGCTTTAATTGGGAACATAGTCCTCATGGCCTAGTGGGCTAGGATATGCTCCACTCTCTCCTCCTCCCCCTTCATCTGCTCCAATCAGATATGTCCCTCTCCCAGTGCTGCAGATTCAATGTCATCCTTTGAAATAAATTCTTTGGTGGGGAGGGCCAGGTGTCCACATAGTAGTTGGGATTGGGACCGGCTTCCCAGACCTCTCCACTGGTTCCCTACTCCACGCCACCAGCTTGTTGCATTCTCATCTTGGAGCACTGGGCTGAAGTCTGGTCCCTCTTTCCCTGTGGAGATATAAGCAATACCCTCCCCTTGGGTGGGTTAGTGCCCTGTGCCCCCGCTTCCCATTTCTTTATTATTATTATTATTTTTCTTTCCCCCGTCTCCTTTTTAGTTGTCTACCATGTGTATCCCTGTATTTGATCTGGTCCCTTGCCATATTACCTCACCCCAGGAATGTTTGTATACAGTAGCTTTTTCCCTGTGTCCCTTTTGCATTTTTTTTAAAGCTTACCTCAGCAGACTCATGTTGTACTTGTCCTTTTGTACTTGGCTAAATTTGCTCAGCATTATAACCTCCAACTCTTTCAATAAGCTTTATTACTTTACTTTAGGGATGTGTAGTACTCCATTGTGTGTGTGTATATATATACAGTGTAGTACTCCATTGTGTGTGTGTGTATATATATGTATGTATACATATGTATACATACATATATATACATACATACACATATATATACACACACACACAATGGAGTACTACACATCCCTAAATATATATATATATATATATACCAGAGATTTTAATCTATTCATTTATTGATAGAAATTTAGGATGTTTCCAATTCTTTGTGATTGTGAACTGTACAGCAGTGAACATTGGAGCATGTTTCTTATTTCTTCTGGGTATATGCTCAATAATGAGATTGCTGAGTTTAAGGCAACTAGACTTTGGTCTGTTCTAGGTATTACCAAATTGCTTTCCACAGTGATCTACAAGACCACCAGCAGTGAGTGAGAGTTCCTGTCTCACCACACCCCTTCCAACATGGGTTGATTACTGTTTTTGTTTTTTTTTTAAGTGGCCTTGTGGGTGTTAGGTGATATCTCAGGTTGTTTTGACTTGCATTTCCTGGATGGCTAATGGATGGGAATATTTTCTCATATGTTTATTGACCATCCGGGTTTCCTCCTTTGTGAATCTTCTTTCAAGTCTTTTGCTCACCTCCTCAGTAGGCTATTCATTAATTTTTCCTTATTGTAAGGTTGCAGGGTCCTATAGATTTTAGTAATAAGACCTTTGCCTGATATGTCATTACTAAATATCTTTTCCCAGTCTATGTCCTCTCTCATTTTTCTCTTGATGAAGTGTTTTGATGCACACAAGTGTTTTATCTTTAGTATGTCTCACACCTCTATTTTATCCTCCCTGTGATTGTATCCTTTCTAATTTTTGTTAGCCCATGTATTCACTGCTCTAAGGTTCTTCGCTTTGGTCCGATCCTTTCATTGATGATCCTGATAGTTTTGGATTTAACCTTGAGGTCTGTGATCCTTGAATTTGTCCTTGTATATAGGGTGAGGTAGGGGTCTTGGTTCTTTCTTCTACAGGTTGATACCCAGTTTTTCCAGCACCATTTGTTCAAAAGGACATCTGCTTCCCCTTTGATTTGGAGGGGGGGCTTATCTAAGGTCAGTTTTCTGTATTCTGCTGCTTTTATTTCTGCATTTTCTGTTCTTATACATTGGTCCAAGTACCTATCATTTACCAGTACCATGTTGTTTTGACAACTGTGGCTGTATAATAATTATTAAAGTCAGGCAGTGCAAATCCACCCACTTTATTCTTTTACTTGAGGAGTTCTTTGCCAATTCTGGGTATCTTCCCTTTCCAGATGAAGTTAGTGGTCAGTTTTTCCATTTCTTTGAAAAATGATGCTGTTATTTGTATTAGGATTGCATTAAACCTATATAGTGCCTTAGGTAGGCTTGACATCTTTACAATATTGAGTCTACCGATCCACATGCATGGGATATTTTCCCATTTGTGAAGGTCCCTTTTGGTTTCTTGTAAAATGTTCTGTGATTTTCTTTGTACAATTTCTTTGTTGTTTTTAGTTAGGTATATCCCTAGATGTTTCAATTTATGCTTGGCTATTGTGAATGGTACTACCTTCTTGATCTCATATTCTGTAATCCCATCAGTTGTATAAAGTAATCCAATTGACTTCTGTTTGATGATCCTGTATCCTGTCACTCTACCATATTCTTCTATCACTTTTAGAACTCCTATTGTGGAGCCTTTGGGGTTCTCAATATATAAAATCATATCATCTGCAAATAATGATAATGGTTATTAGCTAGGACCTCCAGGATGATGTTGAAGAGAAGTGGGGAACAAGGGGCATCATTGTGTGGTTCTCTGTTTTACTGGGGATATTTTTGACTTTTTTCCATTGATTGTGATGCTGAAAGTTG